TGTGTGTGTGTGTGTGTGTGTGTGTGTGTGTGTGTGTGTGTGCAGGCATCATCTGGTCAATGTCAAGATTGTAGTGATTCACGATGTTTGCTAATGATATCAAGATGTTACACAGCAACAGCCTCTGTACATAAGAGTTCAGACACATTTGTCAAAACATAGTATTTCACTGTTTTACTCAAGAGAGCAAGCTCACACGTTTAGTTCAAGCTCTGTTGATCAGGGGAGAAATACAGAGACTGATATTGTGGATTAAAACACAGACTAAAAGCAGGTGTAGGTTTATAATTCAGAACCCAGAGAATCCTGGAAATATAGTTTCCTCCGATGAATTGATTTGCAAGTTGAGCTGCTCAATATGAACCTTTAACTTCAACAAGGAGTTTGATGACACATCGACACCTGACTGAGACCTAAAGCACTGACAGAGGATTCATTGCCTCACGTTTTAATAAATAAGACTGAAGAGCACAGACAGTAGTGTTGGACAGATCCTTTATTCATTTAGTTCTTGTCTTCAACAACACATCTAGTCGTTGCACGTTTTACTTCCTTCCTGTGTTTTTTTTTTTTTAGACAACTCAAAACAAAATCTGTAACCAACTACTTTCAGTCATTTATGATGGGATGTTCATGACTTTAACTTAAATTCAAAAACAGTGAATCAAATTTTTTATGTATTACGACATAAAACAAGAGTCTCAACTCTGATTTTAAAACACTCAAGGCTGTGGGAGATTACAAGGGGCATTTTTCACATTTTACAGACAAATCAATATTTAAAATAATAAGCGGTTGTAGCAATAGTTAGTTATTTGAATGCAATCTGTTCTGCAGGGGAAGCATTGACTCTGCCACGGTCCAGTGGACAAGAACAGGGATGGATCATTGTGTGTTGTTTGGTGACAGTAAAAAAAGACTTTGTTTTTAACAGTATGATCTTGTTTTTCACAACCATGATAAAATGTTGGTCATGAACACTTTCAAAAACACTGTCTACTTCTGTTCACTGTCAAGTATCAATTTCAAGTATTTAGTAATAGCAGCGGTGCACCACAGGAAGGCTTTTTTATTGTGACTATATCACTGAGGTCAGCAACAGACTGTGTCTGCATGACTTTCAGGGGAGAGATGAAAGAAAAATAAGCCGAAAAGTGAGCTGAGTACGTGAGAAGCTGCGAGCGTTGGACTTCAAAACTTCCTACGTGTCATCAAGGTAAAAAAAAAACTACACTGTTCCTACAGCAACACACTCACACTGGACCCTCATCACGACTGCTCACTGCAAGCTGCATATATTTAACCACGATGGAAATTCAACATCCAACACATCCGACACACACACAAACACACAAACAGAGGCAACAGAGTTTCCCATGAGCAATGAATTCTAAAGTTAGCAGCAAACAGTAAACATCAGGCCACATCTGTTATGTTCTGAGATCAGTGAAATCGCTTTGATGAGCCATGACCTACGTTTCTCTACACAACAAACACAGAGTCTCTGTGACATCAGGATATTACATAAACTTTAAATGTTTTTTATAAATGATTGATTTACATAATGGGGTAAGATAAGCCCCCATGACGTGAGTGTGAAAACAGATTAAAGTCTCAACAACCTGAAGCAGAACCACATGCAAAATGAAAATGTATTCATTCAGTAAACAAAAATAATGCTTCAACACAAAATGTCCAATTTGTACAAAACCCTGTATTTGAGGTGATATAAGGGAAGAATGACATTTGAAAACTTGTTAAACTTTTAAAACTGCAACATAATCGTCAGACAATTGATAAATTATGCTCTAATTTAACGTAACAAGTACTAAAACTTGTTCTATTTGAGCCGTCTGTATTCTGAGCACTTCACGTTTCCCAAACTGAACTCTTACTGAGAAAACAGAGACAAAGCTTTTGTATAATACTGTAAAGGGAGAAATCTTTATATAAATACTTTCATATCGCCCAACATTACAAGAGGGTTAAATGAATTAGTAGATGACACGTGTAAGTGCGGACGTCTGGTCCCTGTGAGCAGCTCGTGTTGATGACTCTTGGCACACAGACAACAGGTGTGTGTTTCTGAGAGGCAGCGCCCTCCATGCAGTGTGATGCAGAGGCTGGGAATAGGCTGGTGGAGGGCAAAGTCAAGGACAACTCGTCTCTCCCTCCTCCTCCTCCTCCTCCTCTTGTTTCCTTCATCCCACTCCTCATATCCCTCTTACCTAACACCCCCTCTTTTCATCACCTCCTATCTTTCAACCATTCTATCTCCTACAACCGGGCAATGTTCAAAGAATCATATTGATTATTGATATATACTGATGTAATGTAATCACGTTATGTTAATTCATGATACAGCTCTCTTGCTGTGTAATCAAATTTGGCTGTTCAACCCTCACAGTTTCAAAACCCATATATTGTATTCTACATTCTAACGAAGCAGTGGAATCCAACGTAGTTCTAAGGGCGTGTGTGCACGTCTGCATTGACGTCAGGGCGGCTGGTTTTTTTCTTCTTTCTGTCAATCAGGTTGTTTTGTAGCCTTTGTATTACGGCTGTCTACTGTCACGTTGCTTCTACACCCGCAATTATTTTCAATGTCGACTGTCAGGAAATAAACAAAAAATATGTAAAAGTTTTTCCTACAGCCCAAAGTAATACCTTCATGATGCGTTTTTTTATAAACAATAGACAAACCACACATTTTATAACAAAATATATGGTATTACCACAGTCGTGACCGATTTATTTTCAGTTAATGAACTACTTGTTGCTAGGTTTTCATTTGTACACGTATGCATTATAACTGTGTGTGGATGTTAAGTTGAATAAATAGGTTAAAATAGAACTACTGCAGTGCAAAAACTGATGATACAACTTAATTAATTTGCTTTGAATCAAAGCTGAGTTTCCCATCGTCCGTCTGGAGGCGTGTCCACGTTCAAATCAAACTAACAGACAACCCACCACAAACAGATCTCTAATCAGCGCCCTGTGTTCTGCCAGGTGCGATAAATGGCCTGAGCATCCAGCCAATCAGCTTAGAGGATCTGTGTGAACATAGCTTACATCATCATCCATCACCGGGACAAAGCTGTGGGCTCACTGCAGCTCTACGATGCTGATTAAGGTGCTATTTCTGACTTACTGATCATCTGCGTGTTTGTGTGAGGAAATTCTGCCGTCCTTCAAGTCAGGAGATAGAGCCAATCGAGGACTTCCCCAACACATTAGAATAGAAGCGATTTGTTTATCAGCAAGTTGCATCTGAGTTTACGGGTTAGCACAGATTTTTTTGAGACATCGTCAGCCTTGTAGTATCATCCTAGATAGATTAGTTTGCTGGCTGCTTTGTCAAACACGACAGCACAGTAAAATAATGAATATAAAAAAGTTTTGAAGTAAACTTTTTCACCCGTTGTTTGCAGTCATTCTTTAAGAGCATCCCAATAAAGACAAAAAAAATATTGCAGACCACTTTTTGTCATTATATGAATCTGCATATAATTTATAAATAAAAAATAGGAACTACATTTTAAGAAAGAAAAAATGTGTATTTCAATCTTCGCTTTAAGTCTCACTTCCTGAAACATTAGTTTATCAGATAGAAAAACAGTAAATGTTTCCGTGTGAGCGCTGACTGAAAGTGCTTACACCTGTTCCACCTGCATTAAAATCATCTGAGCTAATCAGATTATAATCTGTCAGAGGTCATATCCACATGCATGACGACCGACACAACCCACCGGGTCTGATGCATTTTAATAGAAAGGGATCCAAATATCATCATTATTTTCTTTCATTTTTGTTTTCATCATCTACTCTCATTTGGGGGTCGCTGGGCAACTGGAGCCAATTCCAGCTGACATTAGACAAGACGCGGGGTAAACCCCTAGACATTCACATTCACACCAAGCTAGAGTCTCCATTCAATATAATCTGCATGTCTTTGGACAAGAGGAAGCTGGAGTACCTGAAGAAAACCAAAAAGCGCACACAGGGAGATTGCAAACTCCCATAGTCTGCAAATAAAGATGAACATTGCATTTCCACTTCTGTGGTGGGGTTTATGACTTATACTGCAGGCAGGCAGCACCAGGGTCAAAGAAGATGATTTGGCTTCACTTTAGGGAGCTTTCATGTCATCCATCAGTGACTCACACTGTACAGCAACAACATTTTAAAAACTTTTTGGGTGATTTTCTTCCAAGCCTGAAGCTGTTCCAGTCACACAAATTCAATGTTCTAGATAAATTCCAAAATTCAATACGCAACCAAGGACAAGGGCCAGGACATCGTCATCATCTTCATCCCGAACATCTTCACCCTCATCATTATGTCTTAACGCAGCAGCTGGTGTTTACGTGCTGAGTGGCTGCATTAGTGAAGCATAGCATAACCAGGCTAAACAGTGTTAAATAAGGGCTGGAGGTTGCTGCTGCTGACATGTGCTATTATAACAAGTTTCAAGCAGGATCCAGGAGACACCGAGGGAAAAATAGAGTCATCTTTAAGTGTAAAAAAAGAGGAGGTAATGAAGGAAAGAAGGAGGTAATGATGAGAAGGGAGGGAGTGGGAAAATATAATTGTTTTTGTGAAAAATTAGCTTAATTTCCCAGAGCTAGAAAGATAATAAACATTCAAAAATATTCAGTTTACAATATAAAACTCATCAAATCTTCACATTTGAATCCACATATTTGAGGTATTTTTACTTGATTACGTATTAATCTCAGTTTGAGTTATTGACTAATAATTGCAGCTCTACAGCGGCGATAAGTAAGGGACAGAGGAGGAAAATAGCTATCTAGGAAAGTATGAGTTAAAGATCAAGACGAGGAAGCAGGGGAGGAAGTGACGAAAGAGATCCAGCTCTCTCTCTGCATAAAGCAGATGCAGCTCTGTGGGAGATGAACCCCAAACACATCTGTCCGTCCCAAGAATCACAAACGACGACAGGGGAAAAACACGCTAGAACACTCACACACACACAGATGCTGCCAGGGTGCCCAGACAGAACTCAACAGCTGCACAGTGACACACACAAAGGGGAGAACAATTTGTCCTATCAACAATCAGGGTGAGACTTCAGTTAGGTTCAGTCAAAACAATCACCAGCACCACACATGTCTACCATCTGGGCTCCTCTCTCACCACAGCCCTAAAACTCTGGAGTTTCCACAGCAACCAGAACTCACAACACGTTAGTCAGCTGATAACGCTTTCACATCACGTCAATGGGCATATGTAGAGTTTGAAGTTTTTTGGTCCAAGCCATTGGATTGGTATAAGAAGTTTATTAGGATTTTCCCCCATATCATTTAATAATTATTTTCAATATCAACTAATCTGCAGAGTATTCCTCAATTAATTCATCTTTTATTTATAAAATCAACAAAAACTAGCAATTAGTAGAGAACATTCAAGATTTTCCATCAAGATTCATGAATTATTCTCTTGGTAAACTGAAACTTCTTGCAGTGTTAAAGAAAGTGAGAAACCCTGAACCCTGATCTGGATCCACGCCAGAGCCTCATTGTTTTTGTGTAATCTAGCAAACAAACAAATAAACAAATAAAAAACACCCATCACACAAACGCACAGGAGAGAAAATGTAACCTCCTTGGTGGAGGCAATGATGATAAATGCTCAAATGTCTGTTCAAAGACAAATAAAAACTGACTGGAAAAATGTCTGAAATAAAAACTTGATCGTCAAAATAGTTGAGCGCAACTCAATATACTGCTGTCCCGTTTACGACTACAAACAGCCTCAGGAACCGTAAAGTAATCACACTGCTGTGGCGTGATACAAAAGCTTCCGAAGGATACAGCCCCCAAACTGAGTAACACCTGTGGAGAAACTGCAGAAAGGTCCGTGTTGCTGTGAGCGTGAATAAATCTTTCTGATCAGAAAGCTGATCACTGTGGGTCATTCCTTCACAGTAGGAACACTTTTCATTTGTGTGTTCATTTTTATCATCTCACTTCTACTATACAGATTTTCTATTCACCAAGTCACCTTCATGTTCCTGAGATCAGCACTGACAGAATAACAGTAACCGTATATTCTATTTATTACTGCTACTGGTAACTAATTACTATTTGTCAGAAGCAGGGTTTTATACCAGGCATGGAGAACAGCTTGTCATAAAGTCCTGACTATAAATGTGGGAATATCTTTGAGGCCATGTTGGGATCCTGAAGCTTTTACCATATTTTTTGGGACGAAAAAGTCAAAGTTGGGCCTGAAAGTAATCAACAAACTGAGAAATCCTTACAAATAGTCTAACCTCATCCATTCATACCAAAAGCTCATGCAAATCTTTTCCTTCGTCCTTGCTCTGCAAACAATGGAATAAGCAGAGGACCAAATGATCAAACTAAAGACTAAAAGCAACATTTTATAAAAACATATATATATATATATATAAATATCTCTCTCTATATATACATATATATCTCAGAGAGCCAACAGAGGTTTTGTCACATTATTATTGTGTGATGACAGTCGACGCTGATTTCAAAGCCACAAACACAAAGCCAGGCGGAGGTTTGTGTACATTCTCTACAAGAGAACGCAACAGTACAAGAGAAAAAGGACACAAACCATATCGAACATTTCAAGAGATCATCCCTGAAATGTAGCGTTGGGACAAAGACGTCCTCTGGCACTTGTACTGGTACTAAACTCAGCACCAGGAGACGACAAGGGGAGTCTAAGCGTCTGCCATTGTCAACAATCTCCACAACACTCACATAGTGCACTTTCGGTTTCTGACAAACCGCCTCCATATTCTTGTCAGGGATGTTTTTTACTCAGTGGTCAACACCCCATCTAGTGACAGCTCAGACACTGATGGTGTCAGTAACTTTCCATAAAAGAAAAAAAATACAGGTATACAGTGAGCACCGCTGAAATGATGTCTCAAAACATGCGGGCCAATACTTTGTGCTTGCGTAGGCTTTCACACACAAACGTCAGAGTTTCTGTTGCTGACGGGGATGAAGAACTCAAGCTGAATCCTTGTTTGAAACACTCACATTAGACCCTGGGCACAGCTTGGTCCCTACATACCAATATCTACACAAACCCTGACCTGCAATATTTAGATCCATACAGATCAATATTAGGCCAAATCATTACACCACAACAGAAGGGCTAAAATGTTTTGTAATGATTCTGTAGCTATCATACTGACATTAATCAAAATATATTCTATGGAGATGTGCAGTTGTTTACAATTCCCTGACTATTGAGAACAGAGACCTGGACACACGCCCATGACATTACAGTAAGTGATGGTGACAGAAACCAGGCACACGGAGGAGAAGTGACCTTTTTCTTTCTTCTCATATGTTTGCAATGCTGTCATAGAGTCATAATCAGTGGGGGTAGCATGTCTGGCTGTGTGAGACTTATCCCAGGTGAACTCAGCTAACTGGGGTGGGTGGACTGGTAGTTTTCTGCAAGGTGCCTGGTAATGCACAGGGGCAAAAAAAAAAAAAAACACCATCACACCCTTGTTAAACCCACCACTCACTCCCACTGTGACACACATCACTGTTAGATTGTGAAGATGGTATTTATTTACTGGTGTTATGGTAAAAGTGGAGCTGCAGGACAACACACACCTGCATCAGTAGTGAAGACAACAGAGAAACACACAAGCGGCAGCATGGTCACCATCGTCAGTGCAGCCGAAGCTAAAGCTACCGAATATCCTCATGTCAGTAAACAACAAGCTAATAACTGATGACAACACGTCACGGTTATATCAGTTATTATCACAACCAGCTAGCTTCGAGCTAATCAAACTTTTAGGGACCTACCGCTGAATGCCGAACACGACACCGCTCCAGGCTCCGGGCTGGACCCGTCAGACTGCGTCGATGTCAGCCAGTCACGGTGAAGTTACGAGACGAGCTGTCACACAACACGTTTACAGACCCGCTGGCAGGAAACCATGTTTGTTAGCGTTAGCCGTCAGACTGGCCAGCTTCTTGACCTTAGCCTGACAACACGCTAGCTAGCTTGGTCTGCTACACTCATCTTACACCGGGACTCAAATTAAAAGAAAACGTCGAGACATCGTGTCCCGTCGTTTTACTTTTAAACCCACGGCTGTTCCTCTATTCCAGCTCTGTGGCCCCCGGACACCGGGGGGTGGTGGGAGTGGGGGGGTGGGGGGAGAGAGAAACGCCGGCGTTACCTCGACTCTTTCCGCCGTCAAAGTAGCCGAGCATGCTAACCCGAGCTAACGGGCTAACGCCGCGGTTTGACGCTGCGCAGTGTCCCCGGTGAGCAGCACCGAGCCGCCCGCCGTTAAAACACGTACCTCCAGGACCAGGCGGGACGCGGAGCCGACCTCACGCTGGATGTGGTTCAGGGAGCGACGGGCTTCGTGGATGTCGGTGTTCGGTGTCTCGTTGACGGTGGAGAGGAGGAAAAAAAACATCCCAACGTCATGACAGCGAAGCTAACGCAGCCCGTTTGGATCGTACGCTTCGTGTGCAGCACCGAGGCCCCCTGGCGCCACCTAGAGGCTACAGCCGGGTCCAGCTTCTTCCTCCTGGGGCTGGAGACCAATATCTACACAAATGACACACTTTATCACACAACTCTATCATTGGACCACACTTAATGACATTATATTTACACCTGTTGACGCCTTCTTCACTACCATTGCCATTTGCACACTTATATCACACAGAAAAAAACTGCTGCTCCTACGGACTGTGTTTGCACACATCACAACTCATTGTACATCACCATGTTATATTATATTATAAAACCTTGCTGCTACCTCATACATTTGCACTAAAATTTGTTGTGCCTGTGCACTTTACTGTTACTTTTGTTAGGAAATGTCTTGTCTTGACTGTGGGATAGTTAGGAACGCAATTTCAATTCCTCTGTATGTCTGGTATATGTGAAGAAATTGACAATAAAGCTGACTTTGACTTTCTTCCTCCTCCTGTGGCTGGGGGGTCTCACATCAGACCCTTGGCATAGGGTTTGTCCCTACAGTAAACTCTGATGTGCAAAATTTAGATCCAAACACATTCACGTATTATCTGATTATTATGACAGAGTAGCTCATAATTACACGGAACCAGAATGAGATTCTTCTGCTGTCTTTGATGAGGGATAAAAAGCTTTTTTGCCACAAGTTCTTCAAGAGACTGATATTGTTGGACTACCCAAATAATAAAGTAATGACTTAGGGGGGGGGGGCTGCCAGACCGGCCACACTACAGCCGAGCGTTGTTGTTGTTGTTTATGTATTTATTGTTTTTCATTGTTCTCATGTGTCCCAATTTCCCCCATTGCAAATGTATGGTCTTTTCTGATATGGATAATTGCCTGTATGTCAATGTCAAGGCCTCTTTAGAAGCTCATACACTGTTAATGATAAACCATAATAAACTTTATTTACACAGAACCGTTCAAAACACAGTTACAATGTACTGTACAAGTTGAAAATGAAAAATTGAAGGCGAACAACAGGAAACAGTTAAAAAGCAAATAGAAGATCACACAGAATGAACGACAAACATGAAAACAAATGTTACAGGTGTGGAAAGCTAAAATAAAACACAATAAACCGATTCGAACAGAAGTTAAAAGCAGAACTATTAGAAAGCACATCTATAAAACAAATGGATTTAAAAGAGGTGGTGTGAGTAGATAAATGCCAGCTAGTTTTAAAAAAAAGCTCTATAATTGAATATTAAATTTGAGGAGCTTCAATTTCACAAACAACGTCCGCTGCAGCGATAGTTCGAGAAGTAATAGAAGAAGTATTAGCATTATCATTAAATGACGTAAGTAATCACTTTAATTCGTTTTATCGTCACAATTGGACTCATCGGTTGTTTCTTTGAATAAATTCCCAGTCAACGTAAATGCAACATCACCTAATGAGGGCATCCAAATACTTGCCTCTGATTGGCTGTTGGACTTTTTTGAAGGGAATTGAATTGACCAATCGGCGAAGCCGTTCTTGGTCGTTGTCAGCAACCAACGTACACAATGTAAGAACCCGGAAGTGTCCTGTCTGCAGCGGTGCGGTGGATTCACGAGCTGCTCGAACCCGCTTCGGTTCAACTCTGAGCCCTTCATTCACCGCATGCTCCCGCTTGTTTACGGTTGTCGGAAAATCTGCCGACGCGTCGGAGAATATTTTCCGTCGCCATGAATCTCGGGTGAGTCTGTTTTTCCCCCATTAATACGGGATATAAAATAGCAAGCTAAGCTAACACACTGGCCGAATGTGTCGCAGTGACATACTGTTGGGGTTGTGTTGCAGTTTGCAAACAGAGCTGTTTACAAAATGTTCATGGGGCTTTATAATAAAAACAACGTGTCGAAGCTCCAGTGGAGTCGTTGTTTGCTTGTTTTCGTTCGTCGTCGCAGAGAAATGATCATTACATGTAAATGTCAAAGGATCAGGAGTTCCTGCAGATAAAGAAATCTACTGTCTTTAATATCGCGTGACGTTAAGACTGAAATCTGAATAGAACCCAAGACATGCCAGTAATTATTTACAGTGGAACCTGGAGATATAGCCACACATAGATATCAGTCAGTATCTATAATAATTATCAAAATTCAAAATCCATTCAGTCGTTTTCAAGAGATAAAAACCAGATTACGATATGTTCAGTTTAATTTCTGCTTGTCTGCTCCTGTCAGTGTATTTCTGTGGATTTGCTTTGACATTTCTTGTTTTCCTTGGTTTGGAACAGAGATGGCCTGCTGTTTGAACTGGAAAATGGGAAACCCAGGTTGATTTTACTTAGTCATGGTGAGACATGTCAGCTTTTCTAAGCTTTTGCTGGGAACATTTAAATCTATGTGTGTCAATCTAATGATATGATTTAAAACAAAGCTAAATTCTTTGGCTCTTGACTTTTTAAAAAAAATGTTGGCATGAATGTTTATTTATCTGTTTGAATTTTAGACCGACAGTCAACTCTTAATAGTTATTTTCTTCCACTGCAGGTGCTGAAAAGAATCCAAATAAGGTAGGACTTTTCTTTATAACCTGGTCATTACATTTCCGCATTAGCTTTTAATAAGAATGTCTCTTTGTTTCATCCTTGCTTTTTTAAAACTACAGAAACTAGAGTGTTTACTGCCACCGAGGCCCAACTGTCCTCTGATGAAACCACATGTAAATTCACTAGATCCAGATTTTTATTTGGATCTGAAAATCTAAATTGCAGACACTCATTAATATCAGATCTCTAAACATGCCTGAAAAAAGACTCTTCTGTAATAGTGTTTTTCATTCACTGTCCCGCGAGCAGCTGCTCAGGCCCAGAGTGGCGAAAATCTTGAGCTCCAGACAGCCCTCCTGTTTGGAGGAGGTGCAGGGAGAGGAGCGTCCAGCCCAGCAGCAGGCAGGCAGATATAGAGAGGCCAGGAGCAAGGCAGCAGGAGCAGCCACCTCCTTGAACTCCAACACCTCCACAACTGGAGAGAGGAGCACCACGTTAATATCATCTAAGACGCAAGAACATCTCAACCAGGGCGGAATCAAAGCTGCTGGCAAGGTAAGTTTCATGTTGCATTACATGTCTTTATTTTAAAGAAACCCCAGTTACAGTATCAGCCTAATACCACCTTAAATCACTGCACTGGCTTCCTGTTTGTCAAAGGATGAAATTTAAAACCCCATTATTTGTCTATAAAGCTTTAAATGGACACTAGATGATTCTATACCCCTGTGAATCACTCTGTGAATCGTCTTTCAGCGGCGCTGGACAAATAAACAACCCCTGAATGTACAACAATCTACTCTGACTGTGTGTTTGTGTGTTGAAGGTGAAGTCAGACACACACAAACAGTGCTCCACTGTTACATCCCTGAGAGCCAATGGGAAAACAGGGAAGCCCCAGAAAAGTGGGGTGCGAGCTGGAGGAAAGGCGGGACTAAAGGATGCGCCGGCCAGTGGAGAAGCAGGACTGAGGGACAACATGGTGGTTCTGACCAGTGAGCAACTCCAGCAGATCCTCAACACCATCCAGAGCCAACAACCACCAGAGGACCACAGAACCCAGGGTAGATGGATAGCCCACAAAAATCTATTGATTCAGCTAACTTCTGACGAGCCACTAATTCATTTATAACTTATACCTGTTCATGTCAGACACCAGACTTTCATTTAGTTTCAGCTTAATGTTTTTTTCTTCACTGTGAAATGAAACAGGCTCACAATCTGGCACCTCAGTGAATGAAGGAGAGGTAAAGGAGGAAGACAGAGGAGGGGGTGGAGGTGTAACTGATAAGACTGGAACCTCTCAGGATAAAGACAAAAGGTGAGGAGCCCAATTAGGAATCAATTATTAAAATAGTGTCAATAGTGTCAATACTTGATGAAGACACAGAAACCAGTGGTCTTTTGGTTTCAAGGATTTAAAAAAAAAAAAAAGTACAACAGAAAGGGTCATTGTGGATTTCTGCTGTGTGCCGATGTGTTTTCAGAAATCTGTATTTCTACAATGGTGGTGAAACGCACAGTGTTCCCGCTGTTTTTCAGGATGTCTGCTGGACATTTGTTCAGCTGGATGGAGGAGCGACAGTCAGACAGCAGATCTGTCATCGAGGCCAAGAAGGCTCAGTGGAGGAGAGAACTTGGTACAAATACACAACACAAGCTAAAGTCAAGCCATATATATTTATATTGGCTTTAATCAAAGACTGTATATAAAGAGGAACAATATGACAGTTGCACAAAAGTGAAGCCAAACCACCATGGCTGGCTGCCTGTCCCATGTTAGTGGATGGGACGTAAACCCAATGAAAACGATGCCACATCTGAAATTAGTTTTGTTATGTCTGTGTGTTTGTTAGACGAGCAGGTGGAATTGAAACAGCAGCAGCAGCGTTCGGCTCCTGGGGGAATCCAGGTACATATTATATTCACATAATCACCTTTTGATCTGTGGAGTTTCTCTCTGTTGGTTGTTTTCATTTCTGTGGAAACGAGATGACTGCAGCGATGTTTACGCCCGAAAACAGAATACGACTGACAGCAGAGGGTTCCTCGTACTGAAATGTGATAACTTCATAGTTTCATCTCCATCTACTCTACTCATCTCACTGTGTTCAGGCTAAATGTCAGAAAAGGTTTTCCCATGAGAGTTGGTTGAATTGTGTTTATTAAAGTCACTTTTAAGAGCAGGTTAGAACTGGTTAGTATTAATTAATGATGTGCTCATTTTTTATTATTTATTTTCATGCTGTCAATTAACAAATAAAAGTTTTTTTCAGTTTTCATAGTGTTGCTAATACTTTTAACTTTTAGTGGAGCAAGGTTTCAAATGCAGGACTTTAAATATTTATTTATATTGTGAGTAAGTAAAGGATGTACTTCAATAACAATGATGAAATCAACCACAAAACACAAGTGTTTGCCGTGATTGGACACATATTTGGTTTTCATAAAATATTTCAAAACATTTGTGTGTGTTCCAGGTTGAGGAGGACGCAGAGAGTGTGTTATCAGTTCAGAGCTCTATCAGCCCCAGAGAGCAGCCTGCAGCCATCAGATCCTGCCTCAAACTGGGGGTAAATATGTGTTCTCGCCGAGCACCATATCAGAACACTTCAGCTGTGCATCATTTAAACGTTACAGAAAGTTGTGATGTTAAATGTTAAATGTCAGATTATCTCTTCAAACATTTTTTTCCTCAACAAGACATTTTTAAAAATCCTGATATTATTGTTTGACCTGTGTTGTCACCTCAGGAGGTCACACCGACGGCCGAAGTGTTGAGTGTTGAGAGGAGGGAGGAGGAGAGGAGACGGTGGCTGGAGGAGCTGAACCGTCAGAGAGAGGAGACGACTGAACGCAAGAGACGAGAGAAACTTCTCCGGAACCAGGTGCAGTAGAGACAATAACAATATACCAGAGACAGTAGAGTCTGGTTGTTCTAATTCTGGCTATATGTTTTCGTTAATGTCTCTGTAGACAGAGGACCATGAGCTCTGGACCAAACACTTTGACTCTCTGCAGCAGAGGCCTCCTGTTTACACTGCAGCTCCATCAGCTCCACCTCCAGCCCCATCCAGTGGGTCTGAGCGAGGGGAGTGGGAGCCCTCCTCCAGCCTGTCCCTGGTCTGGGAGGCCACGAGCAGCTGTGGAGCAGAGAGTGTGGCAGGAGCCAGAGTGGATACGACCAACGGATACCAGAGCAGAACCAGGTAGGATCAAATTCATGTTTGAGATTTATGGCAGCAAGAGAAGAGTTCATGACTGAAAGTGAAACCGCAACAGGGCAATGACCTCAAACTCCAAAAGACAGTCACTCGACCCCAACCTCATCAGACATGCTAAAATACGAATATTCTGACATTCATGTACATATTTGACTTGTGGTTTCAGAACTCTTTGTGTATATAAGTAAATATTCAGTTTTCTTTGTTCCATCCAGCTATCAGAGGACCATGACTGCCCTGCTGGACCCCACCCAGATAGAGGAAAGAGAGCGGAGGAGGCTCAAACAGCTGGAGCAGCAGGTAAGAGGAGGAGGAGGTGGAGGAATAACAGAGGGGCAAGAGAAACAGTATAAACACAGATTTATCACGTAGCTTTTCTAAATATTTTATCATCTCCTGTATCGCCCCCCCCCCAGAGAGCGATCGAAGCCCAGATGGAGGAGCACCGGCAGCAGAGGGAGCGAGAGGAGGCCAAAAGGAGAGAGGAGGAAGAAATGGAGGCGAGGAGGCTGATGCTGGAGAGGGAGAGGCTGCAGAGACAGTACGAGCTGGACACACTGCGGGAGAGGCAGAAGGTCAGGGAGCAACAAATACAGTGCATGTTTATTAACCGTGCCATGGAGCTGTTTTCTGAGGAGGGCAGAAAAAATGAAACCGCATCGTTTGTGTGCATGTGTGTGTGTGCACAGGTGCAGTCAAGTCAACAGACGGGAAATCCAAAGGAAGGCCACAGTGAGGAAAGACTGCAGGAGACATTAAAACCCAGTGGTGAGTAAAGCTGACTGTGATATAACTATAAACAGAACTCAGTGGGACACGTTCCACCACAACAGTCTCCTTACATTCTATCAAGCTGAACCAAATGTGCCTTTTTCATCAACATCATTATTCCCTGGGAAAACTATGAAAGTGATTCAGACCTGTCAGTCATGGTATTTCATCGTTCCTCTTGTCCGGCCTGGTTGTGTAGCAGCCTTAAACTTCAGTGTGCGCAAATTATGTCAGGGGAGCATTCTATGATTTGTGTGTGTGTGTTTGTTCAGCAGTCGCCACACGGGCTGAGCATTTGAAGGAGGATGTTAGCAGTTCAGTCCCCCTATACAAAGACACTGCTGTACAGACAGGTAACTATTACTAGTACAGTAATAATACTAATACTGCTGTAGGATGTAGTAATACTGCTGCTTGAAGTCTTGTTTGTTTTCTCTTCTCGTTTTCTTGCAGAGGCAGTTCCCTCTCTCTCGCTCACAGCAGAGGTTCAGACTCCTGACGTCTCTGCACAGTACCAGCCACCTCCCTTTCTGTCTGCTGCTCCTCCTCCAAACAGCAAGAACCCGGCAGTGAGAACAGGCAAGGAGAACATTTGTCTGCCAGGAGGAGGAGGAGGGGGAGGAGGAGGAGACCCATATGAAGCGTTTGCCCGGACAGAGAGGAGTAAGACGGACAAGAGGAGGCCAGAGTGGAACACACAGAGGTAGAAACACACATCTCACTAGAGCTGAAGCGGTTTTGATAAACGACGAATCGTTATGGTCATTTCTCAAGTTCCAGTTTGTCAAATGGAAGCTCTTCTTTGTCATGATAGTAAATAAATTCCTTTTAGCCCCTGGATGTTTGTTCAAGCTAGTTATTAAGATATCTGATGAAGTGTTGTTTGTCTTGTGTGTCAGGATTATTTTTTATTTTAGAACCCAATTGGAAAACAAGTTTCTTATTGCTCTCAAGTTTAAATTTCCACAAGAAAATGGAATTAGTGCCTTCGTCTTGTCATGTTTCAATCACTTCCGATCTGTGTCTGCCCGCAAAGTCATTTGACCCGGGAGTGAATGTGGATTATATCAGTTCCCAGAAAAAAGCCAGTTGTTAGTAGGTGTTGATGTTTCTTTGACCAGAAATCTCAACTCTCTCCCACAACCTCCATATCGCTCCTGTAGACCCAGCCGACGGTTCGTTCCTGCCTCGGAGCGTTACCCAGCTGCTCTGCAGAAGAACAGACAGGAGAGTCGACTGAAGAGACAGACCGAGCTCCTCGCACTGCAGGAGAGACAATGTCTGTCCAGGACGGAGCCTCCTCCTCCTCCTCCTCCACACCAGGATCCTCGTCTCTGCTCCAACACACAGACCAGAACTGCCCCTCACAGTAAGGTAGGATACGACACTTTGTTCACACTGTGGATGTTGGATTCTGCCTAAAATGTATACACTTGTGTGTTTTCTGTTTGTGTGATGATAACTCTTGCTGTTTCAGGTGGGAGGACAGAGCATCTCTGCAGCCCTCAACAATGAAAGGTAGAAGAACTCTGAACTGAACCCACAAAACATGAAGAGTCAAATTCAGTCAACACATTTAATACAAGAGCATTGGAAAGTCAAATAGAAATGTTGGCACTTACCAGTAGCAAGTCATGAAGTAACTAGTTTTGAAATAAAAAAAGTGAAGTGACCTGAATCCTCTGTTTTCATCTCCTCCAGGGGGCGCTCTCCCCCCGTCCCTGCTGTCAGACGCAGAGTGCAGTGTCAGCAAGCCTCCAACCCTCCTCCTCCTCCTCCTCCAGTTCTGGACTTTATCCCTTATATCCGAACTGATGAAATCACTCTGGACCCACTGGAGCCTCCTGAAACCCCCCCACCACACACAGGTTAAACAAGACTTTCAAATCTGTCCTTCATTAAAAGATGTACACGGACATTTTCTTTCTTCTAAACCGTCTCAACTTTCACTTCAGACAAATGTCACAGTTAACAACAGCCTCTAACCTCAGACTGAACAGAGGAAACACCTGATGACTGATTGTTGCAGTGAATAAACGTAATAAACTTTTAATTTTCTCCTCGTCAGACGTTTTTCCTCATAGCTCAGTGTCACCTCCTGCCCCCCCACATCGAGACCACTCCCACACACCTCGACAGCAGGAGATCCTGAGAGGCCTGGCTCAGCTGCGGCAGGTAAATAACACACACACACACACACACACACACACACACACACACACACACACACACACACACACACACACACTGAAGCTTAAAACAAAGTGTTAATCCTCAAACAGCCCATTGACCCTGTGTCAGGAAGTGAGGAGCAGCCAAAATGTTAAAACTGTATTTCAAAAACTGTCAGCGAATAACAGAGGATTGATTGTCAGTTCGGCTGATTATCAACTAAGAATCTAATTTGTCATCAGTAGTACAAAGAAACGTGTGTGTGTGTGTGTTAACAGGGTTTATTACTGAAGCAGAGAGAACTGGAGTCAGACCTGAACCCTCTACTGAAGCACCACAACAACGAGCTCAGGTCACCCTCGGCAATGCATCACAAGTGACCTCTGACCCCTGAGAACTTCTCTTCAGAGCTGACTGCTTTGGCCAAATCACGACTCCTTCACTCAGCCGTACCCCTAAGTTTGCACGATTCCTCTGGGGATCGAGGGTTAGTGGTCACCTGGCCGTCCAAAAGCAGACGACAGAGAGAAGGAAGAAAACTCCCAGAATGCCTCCAGTGACAAGTGGTGTCCCACGCTAAAAACTGGACCGTGTTTTCGGATGTTCACTTCAAAGTTCACTTCACAAAAAACTTGTTTCAATGCATTTTAGCATAAGAATGACATTGTACCAGAAAGGTTTTCAACTTTGACCTTTTCTGAGTCTCTGCAGAGTGGAGCTTTTACTCCTGCTCTGGAATCTGATTCCTGCAGAATCAACTTATTTCAACCTTTAATGAAAGTCGTCGGTTTTTATTTTCTAATCTCTTCAGCTTCCTGCTGGTCAAGGAGCTTTCATGAGACAGTTTAAGCATCTGTGCTGTGTAGTTTGGTTCTTGGTTTTATTGTAGGAGGATTTTTTATTTATTGCAAATAAAGAATGTAGATTAATGAAATCCATTACATTTCTATCTTCTTTTTGCACCAAATGTTTATCTTGTGTAGACAGGAAAACAAATCTTTCGGGACTTCAGAAGCTCAGTGTATTTTTACATTTTAGTAAATGATGAAATGAAGATAAACCTAGAGATTCAAAACCACTCAGACCTGTCTCATGTCACGGAGACTTCTAAACTCCACAGCCTGCACAATTATCTCGTCACATTCGTGTGATAAACAGACCAAGAAAACATGGAAGCAAACTCTGGTTCATGCACGCAAGTTTAATACAAAAAATCTCTGATGTAAAAAAACACAAATGCTTTTTAAGTTAAAACTAGTCTGTTAGAGTCACTTACTAAATACATCTAAACACAAACAGCTCCAAGACTAACAAACCAAACATTCAGAACAAAAAGTACTTTTTACATGACAGAAAGAGAGTCCACTGGAAGACATGTAAGACAGTCTGTCCATCTTAGTCCTTTACAGTATTTTTATAAGTTATACGAGCTTCATGAGCTGCAGCGGGTGGCCGAGGTTACAGAAGCAGGTAACCTGGGCCCATCAGCTGGTGACTAAACTACATCCCATTAAAGCCTCCCCTTTGCCCCCCTCTGTACCTGCTGTTGCCCTGAGCTGCAGGGTTGTGGTAAACTCCCAGCAGTGCAGGACGAGGGGGAGCCTGAGGGAAGCCCCAGACCAGGCCCCCGCGCCAGGTAGGTGAGGGCCCTAGGAGGCTCGGGGCCCTCCCCAGGGCAGACAGGGGCCTCAGCGTTGGACCTGCAGAGAAATGCTGGCTGTGGATTTGAGGCAGGATGTGAGGCTGCAGGAGGCCCATGCTCCACTGCTGCTGCCGGATGTGAGCTGGTGGTTGTGGGTGCAACGAAGTCGGTTGCAGCTGCTGTTGGTGCAGCTGGATCTGTTGTAGTTGGGGTAGAGCAGTATTTGGGGTCCTGGTTACCTCAGAGTCATTGCTGTTTCTTGTGAGTGCTCCCTCTGCTCTTATTGGCCGCTCCTGGCCTGAGTGTGCGTCTCTACAGAGAGAAAACATGAAGAAGTTCAGCAGCAACAAAGACAAACTGCAGGAAGTACATCAGGAATTAATCATCCCTTAAAAACAAGAGACAATGAGTAGTAATCAAAAGTATATGTACGAACCTTGATCTGTCGTCCTCTACAGGACAGGAGAAGGTACTGGAGGCGGCTGCACCATGTTTAGTTGCTTTGGAAAATGCTGGTTCACCTTGTTGATCTGCTTGTTCTCTCTCTGCGCTGGTTGGGTGCGTCTGATCATTTGGTCTCGTCACTGTAGCTGTGTTATCATTGGATGAAGAGTTAGAAGCGTCACTGATCGTGGGAGCCGAATTTCCTCCCAACAATCCAACTCCTTCTCCTCCCAGACTTATTCCCCTCCTCTGTCCTTCTGTGGGAGGCTCCCCTCTGTCCTGCCTCCTCTGCTCCCCCGGTTGCAGTGTTGAATGAATTAAATCCAGAGTGTCTGCCACAGCCTTCCTGCCTGGAGTGAGCTGGGTTGACTCTATGTGACCTCCTTGACTAACAGGAGGAGTGGTGTGACCGCTACCTCTTTTAACAGAATTGGAAAGGAGGCTTTCCTGGGGGTTGACACTTAACTCTTCCTGGCAGTCCAGCTGCCGCTGCTGCTGCTGCAGCTGAGCCTGCCGCTCAGCCCGCAGCTGTGAGATGGCCTGACGAAGAACCTCAAAGTCTGTGTCCGAAGGTCGAGGCACGCCATCCTTTAAGGAGGCGTCTGGGACGAGCTGGTCGGAGAGATGATGGTGCGCGAAGAGGCCTGAGCTGGGCTGCTGCATGAGATGTTTGGGTTGCTCACTGGAGGACAGGGGATGAATGTGCTCGGGGAAGATAGAGGGTGAGCGTTCAGAGCCCGACACAGAGTCACCATGACTCAGCTGCAAGCCAAGACCTGAGGACGAAGGAGAGCAGTCAGAGAAGCACAAAGGTACAGGTGAGCAAGGGGAGAGGAGAGAAACAGGAACAGAGGTGGAGAAAGTAGAATGAGGAAAAGAGAGAAAGAGAACTGTAGAATGTGGGGAAAGATGGAAGACAAGGGAGCAGAGACAGTGGAGCGAAGAGAGAAAAATGAAGGAGGACAAATGTGACGAAGACAAAGAGGGAGCGTAGAACAAGGGGAGAGAGGGAGAGAAAGCAGAACGACAGCTTTTGACCAGAGGTCGACAACTATTTGGAAAAGGGTGGAAAATAGGTGGAATAAAAAAGATGAAATCTCTGGCTCTGCTGTATCGATTTTAGTTTTTAAATCCATGTATTAGCACAGCGACGGCAATGTCAGTCTGTCGACCATTATGTCACTGCAACGGTTCAATGACTGCTATGAAACACGATTCCAAACAAGAAATTCTACCCACGATGATGATCCTATGAGTTTCCTGCAACACACACAAGGTTTACCACTTGAATCAAAAGTAATTTAATTTCAGTAATTACGATGAGTTATATTTGGTAGTATGGCTCTGGTCTGAGACCTCCCTGCTCTTCCTTGTGCATACGAGGAAAGTCTTTAAATCTCATCCTGAGCTTAACCTACGATGGCTCCTGTCTGAATTCTAAACATGTCCAATGCATGAGAAAGCAAGAGGTTTTGCTGAAAAGTAGGACATGAAGAGACCGGATGAAAAAGATGGAAAGAATTTGATGTCTCAAAAAAATCAGGACTGTTTGCCCTCAGAGAGACTTCCCCTCCTGGCGACGGCACATTCAGTAAATCTGCCGCCGTAGCACTTACGGACTAATTGGACTATGTTAGCGTAGCCCTCGAGGAGGAGAGTATAGACGTTCGATTAGAGCTATCAGGTAGAATCCTGTTGGTTCAGTTTAGCAGACTGGCTCGACCTTCAAACGATTCACAACCACAAGGTTTCTAGCCTGTTCAAATTTGTGGACATTTTTATTTAGTTGACCTCTCAACCTCTCAGTCGGCTAATTTCTTTGTCCTGTCGCTACCGTGGGCCCCTATGCGCCCGTCCTTGCTCATCCTCCACCTGAGGCAACGTATGAGCACCCAGATGTATGGGCACTCTGTGAGTTGACTCAGACCCCCCCAAGGAGGCCCCCTGTGACACCGCTTCTCCGGTCTGTCTCTGGCGTGGGCCTCCGAATGACTCACAGCCTGTCCCTGGAAGTCTCAGACTAGAGGAAGACTGTAAAAAGGCCTGTACTGGGCCTGAACCAGCTGTTCGTCCAGGGAGGAGGTCCCTACAGCACTTCTCTACCCTGAGATGAGGAACGCTGGATCTTACCTCGGGGGCGTAGCAGTGTCCTTTTCGTGACGAAAACTATATGTTGGTGCGTTGCCACAGAGAACTCAACAACAAATGATTCTATTAAATAACAGTTTTTATTAATGAAAAGTATGTATACTGACTACAGGGTTTTCCTATATGAAAATAAAAAGACTATATAAAATACGCCTCACGCTCAATTGCTATGCAAGCTCTTTTTTGATGCCTTAAAAGCAAGTAGCCATCTAGCCTCCATGGTACAAGTAGCATAACACATACTTGTTATGAGCTTAATACCACTTGTGTCTTAAGTTAAGGATGGAAACCTTCATCAATTCCAGGATTTTCAAACAAACACACGATTATGATTATACTCTTATATTATCTTGACACAAAATAAATGAAAACAGACTTTCAGTCTTGATCATAAATGGATACTTGTTTTTTTATAATAAGGTGTCCTGAAATATAGAGAAAAAATAATGTAAGAGACATCAAACGTCATTGGTCAGACAATTTCTTGTTGGTGCTGCTTTGGAGATTTTCCTCCTTTAGTTTTTGGTCTTTTTAGCTTTGTTTTTTATTCATATGAACGAAGACGTAACCGTCTGTCATACAATAAATAGGGAAGGTCCTGATGCCAACCAACTATATTTAATAAAAGTAAAGTGACAAAGCAAATTAAATAGTTGCTCTCTGAGCTACATTGTCTTTAAAAAGCAATCGACGCAATGCATATTTAAATTAAAAGCACGTCGCTGGTTTAGTCTCAAGGCATCACATGATATATGTATTCTGTATGAACACAGGCTGATGATATGGATTATGTTAATTTGACTATTGCATTTGCTTTGCATGTGATCTGAAAAATCGCTAACAGCTGATAAACAGCATCTGGCAGTTTATTTTTCACATACAACATATAAATAATAGCTCTCAAATGGCTCTCCAGTCTGTGGAATCAGCAGTGAGTGTACCTCCTTTTTCTTCCCTTCTTTCACTCCCCTTGTATATTCTCTCCCCCAGTACCCTGCTCGACTGACCCCCTTCTAGGCAGGAGTTGTTGTATTGGTTCTCTTGGGTCCGAACTTTATCCAAGGTGGCACTCTAACAACAGGTGAAGGGGGTCAACGATGAAGGTTCAAAGTTGGAAAAAGAGAGGGTTGGTGCCGAGGAATCTCCACAGGGGAGTTAAACTATAGTTTAAGGGGTGTCTGACACGGGGAGAGTGGCAAGAATGCAGATCTGGGTCCCATCCCCGGATTGGAGTTCACACCAAGGTCCTTCAGGGTGGTTGTAGCAAGTAACTCCACAGGCTACCCTCCACTGAGTAGAGCAGGGGCGAGCAAAACTAGCAAAGACAACAGTGCTGGTGGCCCGGAGCTCCTGATATCGTTCGCCAAGATGATAGTATGGCTGGTCTTTTGGTACAGTGCCTGGTCTGAAATAAAAGATGTCCTTCCAAACCCTGGGGTCTAAAAGTTGCCTGTTCTTGAATTTCCGACCTTGGTGATTATACAGCTGCAAGCGAGTCGAGTGATGAGGAGGCACAGACTGAGCAGAGTGTGACTTGGATTCATCAAGAGTGCCAAGTAGTTGTATCAATTTAGAGTAGTTGTCAGTTTGTCCATTGGGCACAACATTCTCCTGTCTTTCAGGTCTATGTAGTCCTTGTTCTGGTGCGGGAGCCACTGAGCTGTTGCCTTGTTCCTCTCCCCCTCGTCCCTTGAAACTATTGGCCAGGGGACTGGTATGCAGTTGTGAAACAGCCATTTCAGCTTGGGGGGCGAGGCGGGTGCAGGAAGAGTCTTGGATGCTTGCAGGGTTAGGTTGGTCTCTTTCCCTGGTGCCGGTCTAGGGGCAAGGCAGCAAATTAGTGACCTGCCAAAGTTGGGCCTTCTGCAGGGTGTTTGATACATCAACTAGAATGAAGTAAATTTAAGTTGACTTACCAACTCTCTTATAACAAGGGGCACCAAGTTATGTAATTCAACACATGGTTTGCTGCTGTTGTTGGCTGCCATTATCCTCTCGCTTACTGTTGTGAGGGAGCACAGATCAAGTCTGCGTTCTGCCCATGCTCCTTCCATAAGAGAACATACAAGGAGAGAGAAAGAAAGGAGGAGAATGAAATTGACCGCTTTAATCTAGATACTGAGGGGACATTTGAGAGCTGTTGTCAAAGACTGTTGCTTGTGTGTGATGAATTGTTTTTTGTAACCAAAAGATAACAGGTGAGACCCCTTGTTATCTAACAATTCTTCAATATGTCAGATATGCAAATCTATGCCCCGAGAGGGGATGGAGTTATTACGAGAGGAGCCAGTGTCCAGGTTAAGCCTAGATTAAGAAGTACGCTTTCCTCAGGGCTGTGGTTTTCCATCAGACCGGTAAATTTCTATGAGAGGAGACCTCAAAGTGTTCGGGGAACCGTGGACAGTACTCATACTGCTCGCCTGGTACAATACTTAAAGCCTTGACAATCCAACTAGCTGGTAGGCAGGAAGTAGCATGTTAGTCCTTGTATTTCAAGATGTACGGCAGTTGGTTTGGGCAGCAGAGCCCAGATTGACACTTAGATGGAGTACATCACAACCAGTTAAAATGTTGCCCAAACAAGTGCCTCAGTAAGGGTTTCAAGAGTAACCTGGTGAGGTTCTCTCAAGTAGTAGAAACAGAAGCACAAGGTGGGTTAAAACCTGATAAAAAATACAGATACCCTGTATTTCTCTGGAGGAGGTGAATGTGTGAACGCAAATTTCTGAGCAAGCCTCCGCAGTTTCTGCTGACTTTCTCCTCCTGGTCTCCGAGTATAAAGTCCGTAGAAATTCAGGAAAATTTGATGTGTGATCACAGCAGGAGATCCCCCGCTGGATTCCCTGCAAACGTCTAACACGCGAGAGATGCAAAAAAAAAAAAAAAAAAAAAAAAAAAAAACCAAATATCTCCTGGTGCCAAACACGTAGAAGACACAGACGAATATGTCAAATGGCTATATAGAGGTAATAACAATAAATACTTCAATATCAGATCATCATAAGAAATGTTCAGAGGATCCCTAAGTGGGCTATGACTGAGCCAGACCTGACTGCTCAAGTCTCCTAGCCCACTCAAATCAGAGCCAAGGGTAAGATCCAAACAAGCCACTGAAGGAAAGAGTAAAGAAAAAAATAGGATTACATTTTTCATTATCAGCCCCAGTCCTATAGCCTTGATATAACTTAGGATCACAGGGACCATCCCAGCAAAACTAACACATGACCTGTGCTTGCAATGAATATATCCCACCTAAAAATTCACACGCAGACAGGTCCAACAAGAAATTCCAGTCAGAAGAATCAAAGCACAAAAGATGTCAAGTTTAACCGAGGCAGACAGAAACCCCTCTCCACAGCAAAGGAAATCAGAGACAGCTCTGTCCGCTGAATAAATGTACAAACTTCAACAACCACAAAAGCTCAACGGCATCTTGTGATCTTCTCCACAGGGCAAGAGAGGGAGTAATGAAACCTCCCTCAGATGAAACTGAGGAGGTGTCATGGCCATGGGAAAACACGATAAGTCATTTTGCAATAGTAAAAACATTGTTTGTTATATTCTCTTGTTTGCAGCTTCACATTGTGGAAAATCTCTTATTTTCACGGCAGGCAATACAGACAATACGATACAACCACGTGTATTTGTACATGTAAGGTGTCCTTGAGTGTCATGAAAGGAACCCCTAAATATAAAATGTGTTATTATAGACACACTTGAGACATGCCGTTACCATGCTTTTCTGAGATGCATGCAGCCAAAATTTTCCAAAATAAAATACCTTTTTCACAATGCATTTCACCCCCTAATGCAATGCATTATGTGCTGATACGAACTGCAAAGTGTGTGTGTGTGTGTTTTGGTTAGAAATGGTGACCCAGGTAAATACAGGTGGAAGAAAACCTTGTTGAATGGATTCGGTAACACGGTAAGAAGAGGGGGAGCTAAATTGTAAGAACATTTTTTGGTCAAACTGTCAGGGTACAGTCTTTACCTAATGGTGATGTAATTTCTTCTGACATAAGAGGCGTCAACCCCAGTGACCGTTTGAAAAGGAGATGAGATCCTTGTGGATTATTTCTCCACGTACTGTAAATGGTCTTTTACCACGCTGTATCCTGATATCTCTCCATTTACATTAACCCATGGGATTCCTCAGAGTTTTTCCAAAACAATCAATCAGAAATAAACTCAGTTTTCTTTGTGTCAAAAAGAAGTCGAAAGAATTTGATTTTTATTTGCCAAAGCCACCGTCTGCAAGCAATAGGCTGTTTAACGGCCACTGAGGGCAGACCTTTTAAAAAGTGAAGGCAAGAAAGTCTGAATTTTTTCCGTCCAAACCAAATACCACAACTGACCTTTGGTTGCCAGCAGAACGTCCTTGGCTGGTTGCTTGTCCTTGATGTCATGGTAACCGACCACTCTGGTGAAGTCTTGCAGAATTTCTTCGATACCAGCCACGATGATGCCTCCACTGGCGTAGGCAGGTAACCTCTCATGACAATGCTCTGAGGAAAGGAAACAGGAAAATCAAAATGAGTAAAACACCAGGTAGCCACCGAGTGCCTGGTGTTCGAGTGTTGTCAGTGCTGCAACGTACCGGTCAGGAAGATTGTGTGTCTGTACTGTGTGTAGCGGGCCTGGAGCTCGATAAGACAGTCCAGGTCGGGCGACTGATGGTTCATCATGTCGCAGCGATGATAAGGGAGGAACTCAACAACTTGCCGTTTCTGATAAGCTGAAAGTAAGTCCAGTAGGTTGGCTGCCTCTCTCCTGAAACTACAACCAAACACACACATAAAAGGAGAGGAAACCAAGCAAAAACAAAATATTATTATGTAAATTATGTTTATCTATCAACTGAGCAAGAAACAATGTGGCTGTGTTTCCGTTTGGTTATTCATCTTTCTGTTGTGTGATCGTGTAGATCATCATCGTGTGTAGACACAGTATCAGTACCTGGCTTGTTCTTTTAGTTTCTTGTGGGTTTTGCAGTGAACCTTCCACTTCCAGACACTCTCCAGAGAGCTCTGTTGCTCCAGGAGCAGCAGCAGCTCAGCCAGCTGACCTACAGACCAACATCTCATTAACCAACAAATCCTTGAAGAAATAAATACAGACAATAAATCCACTGCCACTAATGCATTTGTCTAATAATCAACAGAAGTATTGATCCATGCTTTTGTTAAGCTTGTGTTAAGACTCATGGGTGAGACAAGTTACATTAAAAAAAACATGCAGAAAGATTTATATTAAAATAACCTTGAAAAAACATTGAGTTGGCTCCTGTCTTTGAATTAAAATGGCTGACGTACCATGGCTGATGAAGTCAGGATTGAGGATCATCTCATCAGAAACGATGCATCCTCCCGAGACAAAGAGCTCATTGTAGCTGTTGTTCCTGATGTCGCCCAGTGTATCGATCCCCACAAACACGACAGAGGGCCGTCGCTTCAGAGAAACCAGGTTTGGGATCTGATGGGTGCACAAACACACACATCCTGATTTCAACACACACGGAGACTGCTCGTCGTCATCAGCGTAACAAGCGGAACATGCTTATCAGTTTCACTTTTGTTCATAGATCTGGATCTGTACTGACCCACTTTGTTAACTGCCTCTGACATTCAAGACAGAAAGGACAGAACCAGTTTTTACACTCATCATTCAGAAGTACCTTGTGTATGTGTCCAGCGATGTCTTTGTTCTTGATGATGACCAGCAGTCGGTTGTCAGGGTTTTCATGGTTCAGAAAGGCCACAGGACTCTTCTCCATGTTTCCCTGCTTCAACAGGTGTCTCTGTAACGTAACAGTACACACACATACTTAACTATAAAAACTATACATACATATACAAATACATACGTACTGATACTGTCAGTCCTTTCAATACCTTCTGTTTTTTATGTTTTGTATGAATCTCACTTTTTCATAGTTTCCACTAGAATCTTCTAAATTAAATTCATCTATCTGTCACATTTATTCACAAGAGATTTATTAACTGTAGAAATTAAAATATGAACCGACTGGAGGTTTGTCTGTGTGCACTCTGAACCCATGAAGTTACCTTGATGTCTTCCAGGAGCGGGTCCCTCTCCTCTGTGCTGTGGAGGTAGAACTGCAGGGATTTCTTTTTGACATCTTTGATGATCTTCACCAGACTGCTGAACACCTCTGGCTGCAGCTGGTTGATCAAGGAGCTCAGTGCTGTGGTTGGGGGAGCGAAGGGGGAAACAGAGGCCGAGGTGGAGACCAGCTCGGTCGGGAGTGGAGGTTCTAGTAAGGACAGAGAAACACCACTGGACCCCGGGGGAGTCAAGTTGGAGTTCAACTCTGTACCACTACTCCCAGCTTCGACATCAGTCGCACATTGTGTGATCCTGAAGTTTCTGTCCTGTGTTAGTCTGATATTTTGAGCTCCTGTTCTGTTGATCTCTGACGTGTGACTTTGCTGTGGTTTCCAGTGGGACTGTGATAACTTGTCTGAAGGAGGATGACAGTGGGTGGGGTCGGTAGACTTGTAAACAGATACAGAAGCAGAGGTAGGAGTTGATACAGTGACATTAGAAGTTGGAGATTTCCTGCGGCTTGTTGCATCAGGAAACTGTCTGGTTGCATCTGGCTGCCACACTTCACCTCCTCTGGAGAGAGCCGGAGTTTGACTGACTGAAGAACTGGGATGAGCAGCCGTCAGTTCACCACTGGGAGCCGAAGCCTCATCATCGCTGCCTGTTTTTGTATTAGCTGCTCGGATGCTGGCCACAAAAGCGCTTACACTGCTAGCCAACTTGTTATCAGCATTGGTCCGGCTAGTGTCTGCATTGTGGCTTCGCTCGATGTCACCAAACTTAATTAACATGCTGTTAATGCCGTCCTTTAGAGAGCTGACATAGTCGTTCACAGGGGGACAGGAGTTATATAAAGACACATACTCTGAAAACTGAGATGACAAAGAGTGTGGGAGTGTGTGTTGAGGTGCGGTGGTTTCTGTGTTCGAGGTGGAGTGAGGGGACTGTGGGAAGCTGTAGTGAATGCTCTCCCCCTGCAGGAGGAGCTGCATCTCAGAGGAGAAGTTGCCAAGATGTTTGTCCACTATGCTGTCAATATCTCTGAGAGGACGTGTAAGAGGTAAAGACACGGACGGAGAAGACAAAGAGCCACCTACCATTTCCTTCACTTCTCCCTTTTGTTTCTTTTCACCCGCTACCTCACCCACCACATCTACCACCTCTTCCCCATCTCGTTTACACTCTGTGGCTTTTTCTTCCCTTTGTTTTTGTACTTTTTCAATGAGGGTCACTGCATCTCTCTCCACCATCTCCTGCATTTCTCCCTCTGCATACTCCTTCGCAGAGAGTGGTGGTGAGGGGCTTGTCCTCCTCTCTGGGGCTGGAGGAACAGTTGGCTGGATGGCTGAAAACACAGATGGCTCTTCATTCTTCTTTGCCGTCTCCTGAGGCTTCTCTCGTCTGTCCCTGGACATTCCTGCTGGAAACAAGCCTCACTTGAATAATGTGTTTATCAGACAAAGGTCAAAAACAAAAAGCTCAAAATTGGCGCACTATCAGCTCCTGTTTGCACACAATACAATCACATTTGCAAAATTGTAGACACCAAACTCCAGTTGGCTGCGATTACCTTTAAACTCAGTCGAGGCTGTGGGGGCTAAACGCTCCTCATTAGCACCACTGTCGCCCTTGTTAAGTGGGATGTGCTGCATAGGCTCTGGGGAGTGGCACCGGGACAGGGAGGGGGAAGGGGACGTGTGCTGAGAAGGAGATAGTGGAGGCTGAAGAGACGGGCATTGAGAGGGAGAAGTGGGGGGGCTGAGCTCCGGGGAAGGGCACTGAGACGGTGAGAGAGAGGGACTGGGCTCTGGAGACGGGCATTGGGAAGGTGAAAGGGGAGGACTGGGGTCAGGTGATGGGCACTGAGTGGGGAAGGGAGGAGGGCTCAGCCTGGGGGACGGGCACTGGAGGGACGACGGAGGGGGGCTCAGCTCAGGAGACAGGGCGGGGCTCTTCCCGGGAGGTTTGGTTGTCGTGGTGATGCTTGTTGTCATCGAGAGGTGCTGAAAGCGAGGATCCTTAGGGATGTTTCTTTCTCTCTGAGAGTAGCGATCTGAACTCAGACCTGCAGGCAGAGTTTAGAGCTCATTTGAATTCTGGTCACCTCTCGTCACCTCTGGTCTGCTCTTTCATAACCATCACTAATTATAGCAGAGTGGTAATTCACAGTAAAATTCACCTAACAATCAATAAGTTACAGTTACACAGTGGTCTTATATTTGTTGCCATAAACCTGAGCACTAGGCAGAGTAAAAATGATTGCTCTAAACTGGGAACAAGATTTGTAAGTCACAAATTCCCAGAGTCAGACTGACCTGTTATGGGGATGAGGACCCATGGGATCTCCTCCTCTTCCTCGTCATCTCCGTATACTGTTCCCCTCCCCAGACCTCTTCCCGCGCGGTGATTCATCTCCCCGCTGTGCGAGCTAGGACTGAATCCCTCCAGACTGCTGACACTGCCCGCAGTTTGCTCCTGCACACAAACACACACTTTGTTAACGTTACCTGCTCAGTTTTAAGTATTAGAAAAAGCTGTGATCTGATAAAACTCGTGTTTCAAACAAAAGCACCAAGAGACTTTAGTCGTAAGAACTAAAAAGGTTTCTTCAGATTGTTGAATGCCTGTGTTAAGACCTGGGAACATCAGGGAAATTAGCCTCCAGACATGCGAAAAATCAACAGCTCATTTGAAACCATGCACCGCAACGACAGTAAACATGGACGAGATTCAATTTGTGATGCTGCTGATCACGGTTGACTGCTTTGCAAATAGGATTATTGAGTCAACATTGGAAAATAGACAAACACTACTAGCAACAGTGCATTTATAGAGTTTTTATGGCAGTTGAAATATAATCCTGGCGTACTTGACCAATCAAAAATATTTAGAGCTGCAAGCCCCTACTCAAGGATTCTGGCACCTTTGGAAAACACTACCCTAACAGCAGGGAATTTACAGAGCTCAAAATAGATACTGGTCCCTGAGGTGGAAACACACAGAGATCCTTCAATCGTTCCTGAGGAACGCAGCTTTATATCAAGTTGGTCTCTTACCTCAAGCTCTTCCTGCTTCCTCAGGTCAATGTCACAGTTGGTGGGCAGGCCCAGCTTAGTGGCCAGCCTATCAAACGGAGAGGATTCCCTCTGCCCCTCCTCCTGACTGACCGGGCCCTTGGCAGCCTGTTTGAGGCCTGTCAGTGAGCAAAGAAACGTTCATTTTAAGAGACTAAGATTTGTTTTTCATAGGAGTTACAGTTGTCATCACAATAACAAATTATTTCATGATGTCCTACAAGCTCCTTTTTATTGAGACATGAGCAAATAAAACAGGATGTGAAAGTTTAACTGCTACTGGAAAAGAAAAGGTTTTTTTTGCAGATTACAAATATTTGCTGAATAAAAGCGTAGAAATGAGCAAAAAGCAAATGAATGGCAAGATGAAGGCTCCATGGGTTATACAGTAGTTAGTGTATGCTCTCAAACAGGAAGTCTCAACATCCAGTCACCTGTCAGCAGCATGAGAAGTTTGGCAGCAAGCTCAGATCCATCTTCCCTCAGATCAACGTCCCTCAAACCCACTGAACCAATCACAGATGTAAGAGAGTCGGGAGAGGAAGACACCTGGCTTCCCTCGACTGGGAGCCAAAAGCAGGAAGAAAGAAAATATGCATAACAACAAACAATCCATGAGGTGTGGTCAGACAGAATGCAAAGCAACAACTACATTTAGTGGCAAAGCAAACTGCTGTGAGACGAGAGTTGATTGAAATGCTCTCAGCAAGCAAAGATGCAGCTGTGCCAACAAAAAGTTCCACACTTCACTCGAAGTTTTCAACTCTTGAGCTGCGACACACATTCATAACCAATCTCCTGGTCTACACTTTGAGTGGATCGGGTCGTGGTCAGATTTAATGGAATCATTTCTGACTTGGGTCTGATAAAAGGGAGCACTGCATAAGTATTTTCATTAGGTCTGATGAAAGAACTTTCTCTAACAGAGGAGCAAACAGTTAAATATGTGAAGAGGAGGATCCAGGAATGGATCCACTAATCCTGTGATTACTGGACAACCAGAGCCAGAGCCTCGAAGTTTCCTCACCTGGAATCTTGGAATCTCTTCCAGGTTCCTGAGTTGCCTTCAGGAATTTAAGCGCCCTCGCTGCCGCCTGCTGCTCCAGCCTCCTCTTCCTCCCTGGTCCCTTCAGCGATCCCTCTCCTCCTTCCTCCCTCTTCACCTCATTTTCTGCGTTCCTCTTACAGGTCAAAACCAGGTCTACAAGCTGCTGCAACTAAGTTATGACAAAGATTTCAGGACATCATGACAATAACTGAGTATTTCTAAATCATCCTCATTACACTATACTAACTCACAACCTATATCTTACGTATCCGAAAATCTTATGATAGCTATGATCACCATTGTGTGAATTTTCACCTTCTTAGTGTTGGAATGTCCTTCTCTGGAGCTGCCTGTCACCTCCTTCCCCGTCGACTCTCTCTGGCCTGCACAGCTCTTCCTGGGCCTCACCTGCTGTGGCTCCTCGGGGCCACAGTGCCCCTCCACCACCTGCCTGGCCCGGGCCACTGACAGCAGGTAGAGGGCAGGGCTGTGCAGGTAGGAGCGCAGATAGTAGTCCATGTTCCCCTTGTGGTGTTTGGGAGCGGGAAAATGCTTTTCTTGCTCATCTTGGTTGGAGTCGTATTCACCCATGGGGTACTGCCGAACCTGGAGTGTGAGGACAGACAACTCCATGAAGAAAAGGTTTTGCCAGTTTGTTGTGGTAAAACGTGACTGGCCTGAACAGAGCCCTCACCCCAACCTGATCCGACACCTGGGGGGCCAGGCCTAAATCACCCAACATCACAAATGCTCTTTCGGCTGAATGGAAGCATATCTTTTCAATCAGGTTCCAGATTACTGCAGATCCCTTCTCAGACGAGTGTCAGGTTTAACAGATGAAGTTTAACTTTATCTCCAAAAGCTGTTGACTCTTGACTTTTTAAGTCTTCAGCATCTTCTACGTGAACGACTCCTATTTGTCCAGTGTTGTTGTCTGTTGTTTGTTAGAAATGTCATCAACACATCCACTCGCTGGATTTTCCAGACATGTAACTAGGGAATTTCATATTACTAGGGAATTTCAGGGTAATGCCCAGAGTTCAGTGCATGTCTGAACGCAGCTTTAATGTCATAGCTCAATTTAGTGCAGCGCCTGCAGACTAAAAACAGCATCTAAAGAAATTCAAAGAAGATCATATCAAAGTCACATCAGAGTGTTTGAAAGAATTGTTGGCTGCACCTTGCCGTCCTTCAGGCCAATGAGGTATTCTTTTGCCTGGCGCTCCACGCCGGCAGACAGCTCGGGAGCCGGGTTAGCACGGGTTTTGACGAGGGCGTGATGCAACGCTGGGATAAACGTACTCAGATGTGGCATCACTGTGGCACCAGACATCGACACTGAGGCATCATGGGCAGAGGAGGCCCTCCTTGATGCTGTGGGAAGAAATAAAAAATAGATGATGATCACTAAATAGAAAACTTGGAAATGAACCACACACTCATCCGTCCATGTGGTACTCACTGGATTTGGCAACGTCTCTGCTCTCAGGAAAAACAAACAAGGCCTGAAGACACCTCTTCCAGTTTCCTTCTCGCTCTGGAAACACAAAAACATCATCGTCTAAGGAGCAGATTTTTCCCCATTTGTATTTTGTTTCCCTTTTTCTCTCTTATTTTCTAAAGCTGTTTTCTTCCTATGCTATGTGTCTGTAAAAGGCCTTTTTCAAAAGATGTAACATGTTGTTATGTTAAAAAATTAACTATGAAAAGAAAAATAAGTCACATGAGATTATTAAGAAACCGACAATCTAATCTATCGCGACAAAATATTGAGTTTTAATGGGTGAGGCGGGTGCTATGATCATTATATGGATTAAATGTTATTTAAAAAGATTTTTCAAATTTGAGTAAATAATAATTTCTGTTTTGATTGTGGTGTAATGTCAAGTAAGAATTGAATAATTCACTCTCTCCACCTGCAGTTAGAAAATGTTTTACCACGACATCAGAGGTTAATGATATACAATATTACAATATATACAATATTTGAATAACCAAATGTCTCATCAAAGATTATCCTCTATATATTTTACCATTACACTCATCACATACCAGGAGGTGAGGCCATCTGAACACTGGAGAGTAGAAAGAGAAATCCTCGCTCTGAAAGTGGACTCACCAGAACCTGTGAGAGAAGAGACGACTCTCATTCAACAGTTCTTGTCTAACTTCCTTTGTGCTCCCATATTTTGTTTCTTTATTTATGATATTTTTCCCCTTTTCCTTCCTCTCTCATTGTTCTTAACTTCTCTCCTGAAATGGATCGCCCCCAAAAATCCTTCTCCACAGACGATAAACCATGATAAAAAATAATGGCAAAGTAGCGGCAAGAGGAAATATATAGAATAAATTCATAAAGAAGAAGAATTTGAAAGAATCTTACATTTGATCCTGCTCATTCTCTAGAGTGTAGCTACGCTTTAATGTATCAGCAACCAATGCACTCAGCTAAATGAAATGAGGTTCAATATGAGACCCACAACCCACCACTCTCTTCATCTCCAGCTCCTGCAGAAGCTTTGTCACGTTGGTCGTTGACCGACTTCTGTCAATCACCTCCAGAAGACTGCAGCAATGTCCATCCTCCACAACTGCACACACACACACACACACACACACACACACACAC